ATTTTCAATTATTTACACATATTTGAAATTGTCTCTATTATTATATACACGTCTATATTTGTAGTCCAACTAACAGGTTTATTTATGTGGATTCGATTTGAATCCTGTTTTATTCAAACTTCAAATTGCTCTTGTTTAGGTTGGCCCCTTTTAGTTTAATTGAGGGTTAGTATTTATATGAACTTTAACGTAATTCTACTTCATTTACTCTATTTATATATGTTTACTTCAATTTACTTTATCTTTCTTATAGTTTATTTATTTCATTTATATATAGATTTTGTTATATTTTAATGGAGTTTTCCCTCACATTTAAGTTGTGCACACCATGACCAAATGAGTGAAGATATTTTGACATACCACAAGACGAGGCAGTTGGATTGAACGATTGAAAAGTTCCCCGGGCGTTCCTTTGGTGCGGGCGTAGACTCCGGGGTTGCTCGCTCGAGACACAAGGGTTGATCCAAGCGTAGTCCTTCCTCTCGTCGTCGGTCGCTCGTCCTGGGCCGTCCTCTTCGGGTCGCTTTGGTCCTTGGTAGCGTGGTAGTGTGCTGGTGGCCTTGGGTCTTGAAGATAGCCGTGGGGTTGTTGTGTCCTCGTGGTCTCGAGTCTGGTCGGGATCTTAACAGGTGCTTCAGACTATCCTGTTTTGAGTCACTGTCCCTACTCGATCCGGGACTCCCGACGGTTTCTTCTTTGAAGTTCTACTTCTTCAGACCTCTCCAAGACTAATTAACACTTTTCGTCTCCCAGACGTCCTTTTCCCCCATCGATGTTTGGTTCTTCCTCCGATGTCTTCGGGAAACGCCTACCCTCCAATCATCGGTGGAATATCTCCGATCATCGTCCTCATTGGCTTCTCCCCTCATGTCCAGCCTCCAGAGGGCGTGGTGCTGACCGTAAGTAAAATAATTTCTTTATGCATGTATAATTTCTTGGAATCGATGGGAACAATATTGTTTCTCGTCGATTGTTCCCATCGGTTACAATTTCTTCTACGATGCATTCCAGATCGAAATTCAATCTATGCCTGGCTTGTTCTCAGCCAGGTCTTTGCCCATGAGAACGTGACTTGAACCTGAGATCTTGCGATCATCTTTACTTTTTATTTCTATGAGGGGTCAGCGAACTTTTCTATTGTTCATGAGTTCGTAAAGAAAAATAATTTAACAAATTAATTTAAATTTTTCATATGTTTATACATATCATCGTGACCACTACTCGGACCGGAACTATGGCCAAAACTACAATTATAATCGGAATCATCCTACCAAGGAACAAAACCAACTTTGTGCGATGTTTAGGCCAAATTCCAACTCGCCTAATGCCCCGACTACTTCACCCATGGATCAACAAGTGAACAGCCACCATTCAAGTTCTCATGTTTCACGATCTCCACAGAGGTCGGAAAACCACTCGGCGTTGTAGACTACGGCCGAGTTAGAGTTATGTCAACTGATTCTTCATTGAATATAGTGCCGAAATACTTATGTGATAAAAACCACTTTCTCTTAGAAGATGAATTATAAAATATTTAATGGTTCCAAACTTAATAAAGCCAGTCATCCTTGGAGTCTATATGTACTAACTACCCGTAAAATGGATTTAAATTTTAATACAAAATGAAATCAATATGCAAATCAACGATAATAATGTTACAGTGTAGTTTAATTTGTGTCATCATGAAGGACAAATATGTCAAATAATAGTTAATAATAGCCATAGGCCAAATAATAATATAAATGATAATTTTCATAAAATGATGTACGATGAGTACCATAATAATCTTACTAATATTATAAATGTGAAAGTTTGTGTGTTTGTTTGTTTGTTTGTTTGAAGGTCAATCACGCATAAACCACTGGACGGATTGGGCTGAAATTTAGCATGATGATAGCTCACATTCCCGATTAACATATAGGCATATTCTTATCTCAAAAATCATTTTGGGCTCCGCCCCAGTGGCTCTGTGTAGTTCCCCATGTTAACCTTATGAGTATTCATATCTAAAGGGAATTAAATAATTTTGTCAGCTGTTTCAACTAAAAAGTTGGTTCTATGATATGCAAAAGCATTAAAAAGTTATAAGATTTACCAACAGGGTGCAGCACTATATTTTTTTTGCATTTATGTAAACAGCTAATTTGAACTAAGCAGCAACAAAAAACTGTGGTACGCAATGAGAACTGTCAAAGTAGGATTGTTTACAGTTATGTTTTTGTTTTTAATGTCATTAATAATTTGTGATTTTTTGTGAATTCGTAATAATTTATTTTTCTTTGTTGTTTGGGTGAAGTGGTAGAACATTATGGCTATGGTACATGTGCAATACCATTAGTATACCGTCTTTTACCAACTTATATGCCAACCCCGTACGAAGGACGGGTACTCTGCTAGTGTAATATATAATAAGTATGATAGCACAACACACAACTTCAATGATCAACAAAGTAATCCACCAAAAGACAGCATATTGACATATGAGGAGATTAGTACATCATTACCACAAAACACATGTATTACTTAGGAAGAACAAACAATTTTAAGTAAACTATTAAATAAATACATACACATTTTCTCTGAAGAATGAAGATATCTTATTCGGACCATATCACATATCTGTTTTTAAACGATCATAGAAGAGGAGATAGTAAATGAAGAAGATCTCGGCGACATAAACGCTCAAAGCATTGTGTAAATAAAATCATAATCAATCCATAATCATCAAGTGTCATAAATTATATTAGAGGAGATCGTCATGAACCTTAATCGCAAGTGTGTGTACTCTTTCCCTATTTCCCAAGTGAAAAGTGTGAGAACATATCCTCAAAATTCTTTCTATTGCTATTCCCCTTATGTCAGGGCATGAATTATCTTGACCCTTCATTAATGTCCATGTTCCTGTGTTTATGTAAATTTAGATTAAGAAGTTTCTAATCATCATCACCCAATAATATCAATCATTTAATGTGACCCATAACTAGCTTTAAATATGATTCATACTAAATGATTCATGAATTACATTTCATATTCGTTCGAAATTTGTCTTTCATTCCATATCATACAAATTTCTCAGGAGATAAATTGTAATATTTCATTTCATTCATTCATTATCAGTATTAAGTTTCTTAAAATGTTAACTTTTGTTCATACACCTTTGTTATTAATCACTCCTCAGAAAGGCTGGTATTCATTATCCTAATTTATACAATTTCATTAATCTGTTCAATTAATCATTAATAATATTCATTCCATAGCCTATGTATATTTTTTTACAAAGCCCAAAACTTTTTTAGTAATTAAATTTGCAATAGAATTACAATAAATCAAAATTTCTTATAATATAATTTCAAAATTAGTCCTTAAGGAATCAAAATTCAAGAAGCAGTGAAGCAGTGATCCATGTGTTCAACAATAGACCCATGTGAACATTAAAATTGAAGAAGAATGAGAAGAGAAAGGAAGCCATAGTTGAAAGTTAAATTAATTAATCTCATCAAGAAAACCCAGTTTATATCCAAGATATATTACTGTCAACCTCAAGAGGACTTACTCCAACATTATTTTTCAAAATTAGGTATAAACTTTTCTTTTAAACTCTTTTTAAATTCAGTGCACATTGGACTTACCTTTTGGACAACCTCAAAATTTAATTTTCATTGTTGGGATTTTGTAAGTTTAACATATTAATTATTTGGACGCTATTTCATTCATTAATTCTTAGCATTCAAGCCAGCACGACACCCTACCCTGAGATATAGCACGTATAAATTATACTATTGTCAATTTGAACCTTTATTTAAAACTTACCAGTATCTTCTATTTTATTTTAATTTCAGCCCACACTCCATTGTCAGTACTTTCATTAACATAACTTAGCCTTTTAAATTTCGTTGCATGTTCGTTCATTTGTTTCAATAAAATACCTTTTGTAATTCGTATTATATCTTTTGTTATTAACTTTAAACATTTATAGAATAGGCCTAGCCTAAAATGAATATTGTGAGGTAAGTTTACAAGTCCCGCGCTCTAACCACTACGCTAGCTCGCTCCCCATCAAATCAGCAATGGATTTTATCTAAGTGATAATGCCGTAACCCCTAGGTTTAGCCTAAAGTAATGTGAAAAACAATTCCAGGCTTGTGCACGTCCTAGGACAAAAAAAACATTACCGTAGTACTCATGGTAAGACCTAGACCTGGGACCGATTTACTTTTTTGTTTTGAGGTCCCTAGAGGCCAAAAACACCATCTGTTAAAATTAATACATATATATATTTATAAATGTGTCCGTTAGCACGATAACTCAATCAAAAATTATCCGATTTTAATGAAATTTGGTATAAACGTGTAAATCTACATTTATTTTAACCAGTTTGTGAACCAGCATAATCGGACTACAGAAACGGGTGTTTATGGGGGGTTTTATGGGGTAAAAATAGGTTTTTACCATTTTTTACCCTAAAAGCATAAAATTTCGCAAATTCTTTCCAAACCATTTAGTAGAGCTTAAAAAACAAATAATTTAGTACAGTATATTGAAGCGTTACTGTGCAACTAATGGTTATGGAGAAAATTCCAAAATATTGTAAATTTAAAATTCCCATGTTATTCATATGGAGAATAAGTAATCTGTTGTAGTTTGCTTCTTTATGAACAATTTTTGAACAAATTTGGGAAATGCATATTTTTCATAAAAAGCTAGAGTATTAAGATTTTCTAAAATTAAACACTTTTTTACCCTCCCTGTTGCAGCTAACCTAAGTACTCGTTAAACTAATGCTATTTAAATAGGGAATAAATGTGAGATTTTTAAGGAGACATTTTAATGTAAATACAATCAGGCAAATGGAAATTCACTTAGTCTGCAGGTTTGCTGAGGTGGGGGTATTATTTTTAAAATAGGTATCCATGTGATTGAAAGAAATAATATTTCTAGGTCTGATAAGTATCATAAACTGATAAATATTTTTAATATTTTTTGTATGACTATCTACTTACATCAAGCCCTTGAGGATATGTTTGACGTCAATACTTTTGTCAATCAGCCAAAAATTCCACGGGTTGTCACCACTGAGGAACATTAACCTATGTACTTTGTTGTCATCAGGAACAAAATACGGTATTGCAAAGCTGGGGCAATCAACAGTAACAGTCTTTAAAACTGCATTAATTGAATCCAATTCTTTAGTTAGTCTTACTAATTCAGCTATGTTTTGCTTAATCACGGTTTGTTTTAGTTCTGGCTCTGCAATTTGGTCTCCTTTCTTAAGAAGGTCATGTACCTGAAAAAAATAAATTATGAGAAAAAAATTAATCAAATACACAGGAAAATTCCAGCACAATAACATAACTTTAAGGACACTCAAGATATTCACAATGTTGAAAATTATAGGTTACTAGAGAACCCGCATAGTATGAAACATAACACCGAGGGAAACATTATACTTAAATTTGAGTAATTCTAGTTACATCTTAGGGTTGTTTAAATACTTGTAGGAAACCAATTTTAAATATCTCTATTTGCGTCGTCAAGGTTCACCTACATTATTTCTGCTCTCGGTTTTAACTGATAACTTCTTTTTTACTATAGGTAAGATTCACTTACTTTTGCCTGAAGGTATCAGATGTTAACATATGCTGTACATGTTTCGAGCTACTTACAGCTCATCTTCAGCAGCATTCTTGAATTTAAAAAATCACATCAAACGATGTTTGTCGACTATTTACAGTTTATATATACACACACGAACACACGGAACATATATAAACTGTAAATAGTCAACAAACATAGTTTGATGTGATTTTTTAAATTCAAGAATGCTGCTGAAGATGAGCTGTAAGTAGCTCGAAACATGTACAGCATATGTTAAAATCTGACACCTTCAGGCAAATATTAAAGGTGTCTAGGCTGATATAAAATTAATGATAACTTCTAATGAATGCTAAACGATCTGCTTCAATTCTAGCTAACATGTTGCAACAAAGTTTTTCCAGCATTGAGAATTAAAGAAAACTGTTGCCTAGACATCCCCCTAATCAAACGAATCTTCTCCGTAGAGAATCCTGAAAAGTGGAGTGATATCAACCATTTAATGTGCTCCATTTGTTACCCACAAACTCTGGGTTATCAACTGGAAAGCCATAATCTGCTTTCAATAGGCTAAAGCAGCAACACCATTGATAGTTTGTTAACGTATTTTAACTTTTTAATTTTGTGTGTTGGTGTTAGTCACAGTATGCCCCGCATCAGAACGTTCTCACGTTGATCAGTGGGGTTTCTCTTAATATCTGTCCCAAAGTTTTGAAAGTATGGATTCATTTGTCGAAATAGATATTTCTTGTAGCTTGTAAGATTTGGATAGCAATTTTCATTTTCTCTTTTAGAACAGCATATATTATTTGCTTCTCCTGAATCATAAAAATAAACTGAACTGTAAGTACTCGATCGTTGAATATATAAACACTAATTCCTTCACTTATGTCTAATATTGCCACTAAAATTCAGTCAAAAAACTTCGTATAAGTTTGTCCGAACTTATCAACTGTTAACTGCCTCCTTTTGGGCATTACAGTATTTAGTTTTCTACTAAATGTTTTGATTTACATTCATTTGATCTGACATTAGGCAAGTTTATTTTACCACCGTGACATGTGCTTCGTATATTTTTTCACTTCCAAAGTAAGTTGCAGTGGTTGCATAGCATAATTGGCAAATATTATTCATCTTACCAAGTGAATGTGTATATGGATGTGTATCTGTTAGACCAGGCCTACCTTTCTCTTCTCTCCTTATACGCATAAGATACCTTGTTATTAATTGTCTCCTCCTCCCGTTTTCAATATTTCTTCTTTGAACTTCAGGCATTTTCCGTTCTTCCAACAAAACTGATTAACTGTTTAACTTGGTCTTAACCTACTGAATATTAAAACATTAATATTTACTCCCAAAAAGCTAATGAATTTCTTTTTATAAACAGCTGTTTTTTGTTTTTAAATTTGTTCTGTGTATTTCTTATGGGGAAAACCCGACCTTTGAGAGGGTCTCACGCCCTTAAGAGTAGAAATTTTAAAGTTCTAAAACCTTATTGCAACACTACATATTGAGACAAATCTTTTGACACCTTAAACGTTGAAATTGGTCCACAAATAAGGGAGGAGTTGCGTTAACAAAATACGGCTTGACGTATTATATATATATATAGATTTTAATTTTAATTTGTAACAGTTGAGTTTGATTTTTTGGATCGGCAACAAGCGTATTTCATGTAGTGCTAGTGTTCATGTAGATGGGTCCCGCAGGGGGCCCATGCTTGCGTGGGTACGGTTAGCTCTCCCAGAGGGGAGGTAATTGCCCGGTGTTTGAACCGGCACTACAGCAGTTGTCGTACGGTCCCTTACTTAGATCTCGACCCATTTTGAGAGAGAGAGAGAGAGAGAGAGAGAGAGAGAGAGAGAGAGAGAGAGAGAGAGAGAGAGGTGTTTGGCCGAAGCCCAGCGGTCCCTCCACCACCCCTGGTTTAAGTCAGAGACTTATTCACCAGGCCGCTTTCCTGAAATATCTTCGGATTCCTCTTCCTGCTGTCAGCTTCAATCCATGTCCTTCCAGGCACATTCTGTGCCTAACCAACACCTCTCCCCTCACCTAGTACCCTCTGTACTAGGGTCATCGGATTTTTTTTTTTCTTTCTTTCCAATCTTCTTAATTTTATCTTTCTTTCCTAACATTTTTCTTTTCAAATTCCAGCCTGTCTTCCTGCATTTTCAAATTCATGCTTTTTCTTTCCTATCCTTCGGCACATTCTGGCAAACTCCAGCGCAGATTCTTTGGTTCTCAAGAAGTTGATCTTCTCCCAATCCCATGTCTTTTGTTGGAGGAATTCCCTCATGTCGCTTCTTTCTTCTTCATAGAATGGGCACTCCATCAGTACGTGCTGCGATGTCTCCAGCTCTCCGCAATGAGTGCAATGGTCATCATCGACGAGGTTGAAACTTTTCAGCTTTGCCTTGAAGTTGCCGTGTCCGCTGACGAACTGTGTCGTGTAGTGATCGGTTTCCCAATGGACTTTCTTTCTGAACCTCACATCCGGAACGAACGCAAAGGTTTCCCTTCCTTTTGTGCTAGACTCCCACCGTCTCTGCCAGTCAACGAGTGTTTCTTCTCTTCGGATCCTCATGCTATCCTTGATGTCGATACCTTCTTCTTTGTCCCTTCTTCTCTTAATCCTTTCTTCAACCATCAAGTCAAGCGGGATGACCCCGGCAATCACTCGGACAGCTTCGTGGGATATCGTGCTGTAGCCCTTGATCACACCCAACAACAGCTTTCTCTGCAGACTCATCAACTTAGACTTCTCACCTCGTCCCCTCATTCGTTGGCCCCACATCTCACAGCCGTACAGCATCATTGGTTCAAGCGCACCGATGTACAATCTTCTCAAGTCCTCGCATCTCATGCCGTTGTTTGCCTTGGCCAGTCCTTTTAACTTTCCGAATGCCTTCATAGTCTTGTCGATTACTTGCTCATAATGTCCTGCAAATTTCAATCCACTTCTTACTGCGACTCCTAAGTACTTTGTCTCATTTGAACACCGAATTGTCACGTCTCCCATGTCGACACGGATGAATCTTTCAACCAACCTTCCTTTCAGGAGCACCATCACTGTCTTTTCCCTCGAAAAAGTCATCTTCCTGTCTTCCCCCCACCTAGTGACCAGTTCCAAGGCTCTTGATGCCTTCCTCATGAGATCAGGGCTTGTGTTCGACTTCACCAAAAGCAGTCCGTCATCCGCATAGGCTCTCGCGGAGATACCTTCCTCAAAAGGCAGCCGCAAAAACCCATCGAACAGGATGTTCCACAACAGAGGGCCCACCACAGACCCTTGGGGGCATCCTTTAGGCGAGTGTATGTGCAAGGCATCTTGCGAGATGTGCCCAGATTCAGGCTGCATAATTGTCCTGTGTGATCCGAAATGCCAGTATTTATCACTTCAACGGCCACTTCTTTCTCAAAACAAGTTGTTATGCAACAAATGTCAATCGAAGTAGAAGAATCCTTAGTGATTCTCGTTGGAGGAAGTTCGATTCGATGTATATTAAACGTTGAAATAAGTTCGTTTTTAGCTGATTTCTTTTGGATGATGCAGCCAGGCAGTCGACATTGAAGTCACCCATGATGATAATGATGTTGTTCTGGGTCAACCAAGGGTGTATGATGGTTGAAAGTGTGTCCAGAGACAGTTTGAAAGATTCGTTATCATTGCCTGGGGGGCGATAAACTCCAAGCACAAATAAGTTTGATTTTTTGTTCAGTTTTATCACAATTGCTGAGACTTCTATGATTAAAGGGATGCTTGAGGATTCTAAATTTAGTACTTCTATCTCATTTTCAAGATCCTTGTGCTTGAAGATGGCCACACCACCTTTCCTGGCATTATTCCTGCAGAAGGCTGACAACAGACTGTAATCACCTAGCCGAGTATTCTTCATGCGCTCGTCACTTTGGCCATGTTCTGTGATGATGACGATATCCGGAGTGTCTGAGTGGAGAAAGTGATTAAATCGTTCTATTTTGTTGCCTATGCAGTCTGCGTTCTGGTGGAAGATAGTTAATCTTTTTGAGATTTTATTATTGTCCGTGAGCCTTGTCTTTTTCTTGTACTCATCTTCCACTTTTCTCGTGTTTTCAGAGGTTCTTCTACAAAAAAGACTGTTGAGTTCCTAATGTATTACTGACTGTAGATGGGAGATCGGCTGCTGCCTCGTCTAAGCTATTTCTGTTGTTTCTTTTTATTACTTCTCCATCAGCAAAGCTGGGGGGATATGTCGATAGATCATTATGCTGTTGTTTACCAAGCTGGTCATCTTGGTTTCTAAGAAAATCCTGGATATTGTTGTTGAAGAAGTCCTCATAGGTTTGTGATAAGCAGAAAACCCCCTAACCGAACACGAACACATATCAAACTCACGTGCAACCCGCACATGACACATGGACCTTGTAACGGTCGTATTCCTCTTGTAATACGTACTGTTACTTTGGGTGACGTAGCTCAGGAATGAAACTCAGCACTCGCTTACAAAACCCAACTTTATTAAATACTCAAAACAACACAAAGAACACAGAGATAACTAACAATCAAAAAGGTAGAGTAGACTGGAACTGTATAAATAAGTTAGGAACTTAAACCCCAATTTGGAAAAAGACTCTAAACCCCAATTTTGAAAACCCTTAACATTTTCTTACCTGGACCCAAGGCCAAGGGCCTTGGGCTCCAGCTCCCCCAGC